CGGAAGACGTCAGAGGGAAAACCAGACAATATTCTCTCCATAAAATATGATCCAGTTTCACCCAAATCACTGATAAAGTTGTGTTTGTACAGTAATCAGTGAGCTAGCTAATGAATCTTCGCTCTGTGTCGTTAAAAGTTGAAGATTGAAGCTGGTTAAATAATTCTTACGTAAGCATGCATCACATTTTGTTTTACAGGAAGACAAAATTATTGGATTTTGATATAAAAATACAAATAAACTGAGGTTTTTTGGGCATAAATTGCGAAATACGGGAACAATGAAACTGAGGATGTGATCTTAAAGGGTTAAAAATGACATTTTTAATTTCAGAGTGAATTATTTTCGGTCGTACTTTTATGCCCAAGAGTAAAATCATTTTATCAACTTTATTTTTTTCCCTCCACATTCAGTTGGAGGAGAGATTTTTATTGATGATAATGAGCTTATTATAAAATCTTTTTAACAGGGAAAATGGAGATTTGAAACAGTGATGATTTGGGTCCGTTACAGCCAAGAATTTTGGCAGTAATAAATCAAACTCGCTCTTACAGCTCCCATTTATCTACATACCAGCTAGATAATTAATTTCCACGAACCCCATGAGGGCACACAAGTTAACAGAAATTGTAGTTGAACTGGAGATTAGACAATTATTGATGGGTTAAGTGTCCACGGCCCCACAGAGTTTCTGTGTGTGCATTAATTATTAATAATATACAAGCAAAGTGCGGCGCTAATACTGTAGGCACTGTTAAACAATGTGATCGGAGTCCAATTATCTTCTATTTTGTGTTTAAGACAGTAACTGAACTGTAACCTAGATAGCTTAGTCAGCTATCATACATGTACATACACATGAAGCCTAAACATAAAGATGTTGATGTTTGCTCGTTATCTTATATCTTAATATTTCAAACTGCCTCCGTCAGAAAAACTCTAAAACTTCGATATTACAGCCAAAATTTGACAACGAAGGGGGGATGAGATGGACCAGAGGGCGACAGATTCGAACCTGGACCACTGCAGTAAGAAATCCTGAGGTTTCCTTCATCATGATTCCTATTTTTTAGCCGAGAGCGACATCATGCTTCTCCTTGCTAAAAGTGTAGGAAGCATCTTTGAAGTCCTGCTTTAAGGTGTTTTTAGTCCTCGTTTTCGATGTGTGTTTTATGTGTCTTACTGTCTCAACTTCTCATCTTCATGAAAGCCTGTCTAGTGACGGGTGTTGCAAATTAGTATCCGCTATAAACACTATGATACTGATCTGTGTTTACTGTATGTGTCCCCATCATATAGACCATAAATAACACATAACTCAGTGTGATTCCTCCTGCAGGAGTGATTCTGAGAGTACAGTATATAAGCCCTGATGACATTGTACATTTACCCTTGAATTTAACATGACGTCACATCACCACGTTCCTGTGGACTACAGATGGAGGCTGGGAAGGGATTTTCTACATTGGAAGTGGTATCACAAACTCCTTTTTTTACAGTTACTCAAATCAAACCAAGAAGCAATGAGGAGCTTTTATCGAGTTCCAAAAGTTGTTCGTAAGAAGGAAAAACGCAAGAAATTAAAGAAAAACGCTGAATAAAAAACCTATCCCAAGTACATCTGTGGAGCAAAATCTGTATAAGTATACGCTATATTTAGAATATTTTCACCACTTTACGTTAATCAGACAGTCCTTTCCGAAGAGGAATTAAAGCTTTTATATCCATCTATGCTCTCTTCAAGGATCCAGTCTGCTTTAACAAAAGCAGGGATTCTACCTTAAAGAACACAGGATTTTCTGGTCAACCGCTGCCTCGATCCGCAGCAACTAACATTAGTTTGGATCTAAATTAACTTGTGACCAAAGTCACACAATAACACAAAAAAACTAATCACTCGAGGCAGCAGAAGACCAACAACTCCGCTGTTCTGTGAGGTAAAATTACTGTTTTTGTTAAAGGAGTCTGGTGGCTTTGAGCAGAGATATATAACAACGTCAGAAAGAGCAGTTGTTCTTTTTTATGACTAGAAAAGGGAATAAAGAGAGCCTGTGTTACATTACCCATTGAAATCATTGATCCTTATGATCTGTGGCTTTAGCTAACGCAAAGCAAAGCTGTTTTTAAAGGGAGTAAGAACTTTTATCCGTTCATAATTTCCAGTTATTCCAGTATTTGACATATTTTAGTGGCCTGTCTTTAGGAAAAAGTCTTCAAGGGCAAAAATGGCTCCTCTGAATCATGTCCAATCTTGTGATTTTCTGTATCTTTAAACTATAACAGAATCTCGTCCATTCTGCTTTGCACTTCCTGAATCTCATCTGAATCCCGTGACTGCAAAAAAACTATTGGAAAAGGAAGAAATGGCAACTAAGTCATTAAAAGAAATCTATACGCTGCAAGAGCCGGTGCAGTTTACTGTCACATTTCACTGCAATTCAGAGATGCCTGCTTCAAGATTGACAGGAAACACTCCAAATTGCCCCCTTAAATGCGTTCTAAGTTGCACTTGGTAGCCTATTGACGGACTGAGCACGAAGGGCTTATCTTTTGGCATCAATCCCAAATGTCAGCGAGAAAAGGCAAAACAAAGCGGAGCTGAGCGGAGTGGAAGTGAAAGTCCTGCGTCAGAGGGTACCAGCCAAGAGTAATAGATACAGCAAAGGAAACAACAAAAGAAGACAACACTGTAATTGCTTATGACGCACAAAGCTTTCTCCTGGAGACGATGCAAATTGAAAACCAATATTACTACATAATAACCCGTAGGCCTCTTACAACAACACCCTGTGGACAGCCTCGCAGCAGACTAATGACTCCAGTGCCATCATCTTCCATCTTGTATCTTAGCAACAGCCTCGTATCGACACCATCCTCTAGCCGTGCTGAAGACATACAGACATTTCATTCCACCTCCAAGACCCCCTGAAGTCACGAGACGTCTATCGCAGGTGCTCTCCCCCGAAAAAAAAGGTTTGTCCCGCGGCGCCATTCGAAACCGGCCTTTCCCCCCAGCTGAGGAAAATCTGCCAATCAATCTCATCCGTAACCACACTCTGTCCCCGGCTCGGATGGACTTCAGTAATCCTGGTCATGCTTTTGTGGTCTGCAATCAGGGAATAATCTTGGCTCTGCTGGCTGGGGTTCAATTAGCTCTCTCACACACACACACACACACACACACACACACACAGACACACACATCCTAGTCAGTCACCTTGGCACAGGCAGAATGAACTTCACACACATAAAACTCAAGGTAAGCCTGCAGGTTTGATAAGGCTGTAAAATGCTTCAGAGCCGTGGCACAATCTGAAGACGGCAAGTGATCCCGCGAGAGAGACGAACGGCTGACCTCCAAAACGTTAGCGGGCGGCCGCGAATCACGCACGCCGGCAGCCTGGAAAGCAATAACAAACACACACACACACACAAATACGATGCATGTAAACGAAAGGCCCCGGGTGTTTGATTGACGGCAACCAAAACGACAAATGTGTCAGAAATGCCCTGCTGTCGACGGCGCTCACATCAACATGCAGACTGTCACAGTGTGCGCACCGCATACGACTGCTCCTCTGTAATGTACTTTATCTAGTTTATAATTTATTTTATTCCATAAAAGCAGCATTCTCTAACCGCTTTCTCATTTCCATAATCACAGTGTAATTAGATGGCGACAAAATGCAAGGTCTTGTACAGGAAAACACTAACGTTGCAAAACTGAATGACACCAGGCACTCTGTCTGCCGGGTGGAAATGCTTTATTTCACTCCAGCTGCAACAAAATGCATATAGCATTAGTAATCACGCTAATCAGGCTGCTGCCACATTTACTCTGCCAGCAGCCGACTGATGAATTAAGATAAATCCTGCTGTGGCTCATCAATAAGAGGGCAGCTACCGAACAGGAGGGATGTTACAGGTAGTGGGAATGCAATGAAGATAATGGAGGAGAATATAGAATAACTACTGAAAGTCATTAACACATTGCCGCATCCATGAGTGCTACACAGGGCTATTAAACCGTGTTAATTCATCAATACGTTGATCTACGGACAAATAATAGTCAACAGTATTGATAATACTCATTGGTGTGGACCAACCAGCGAGTTTAAACATCAAATTCAGGGTATTTTTCAAGGGTTTTCCAGACCCATTTCCCTCAAATTCAAGGACCCAACACAGCATAGTTCAGGGTTAATTACTGTGTAACATGTCGGAGGCTCTATTGGCAGAGATGTAATATAATAATCATAGATATGTTTCTATTAATGTTTCACCTGAATTTAAGAATCATGTGTTTCTTTCCATAGAATGAGACGTTTTTATCAGCAGACGCCGCCACGTTAAACCGCCATGTTTCTACACTGTTTTGCAACCACCGTATTTTCTCCCTCATGCTTGGAGAGGGTTAGGGTGAAGTGAGGGGGTTGCAATCTGCTTTTCTCCTTTGCTGGACAAAATCTATAAATCCAAGCACTTCAGTAACTCATGTCAATTTACTGTCTGTTTTCAAAAACCCTTTTAAATTTCTTGCCCTCAAATTCACACTCAATTGTGACTGTGAAGCGTTTCGAGGACTTGTGGGAACAAGTGATAAATGGTCTCAAAAGTAGGTCAAAGGTCAAAATAGACCTTTATTCTTCCCAACCTCCTCCGAAGGAACTCTTCTACTTCGGTTCTGTTGGTTTCCTTTTCACGCCGGCCTTTTACAGACGAACTAACAGCTGTAAGCATGATGTCACACAGACCGACAGGCTACTGATTGATTGGTCCATTTCTGTGATGTCACCTTACATCATCAGCGCCACACTGACCCACCTTCAGGAAATAAAACTCCAGAGACTGACAGCAGGTCGTGCAGCACTTTACTGAACAATGTGTGTGTATTTATCTCCTCTGGTGACGTAAAGAGCTCATAGAGACATTTACTGATTTACTGACACCATTATTGGAGTCTTGTATTTTACTTTGTACACAACACGATAACTGCAGGAAGTGTGTGAATATTGATCAGAGATGAGCTTTCCTGATATTTTTAGAATCTTTTTATACAATTCTCTGTCTGTATTATGTATTTTTTATATTTTTTAACAACAGACAGGATTCTTTTTTGACAAATTCAGCATTTTCTTCTCCCTGATGCTCATTCGATTAGCTCTTTGGTTGTCACAACTGCGTACTTTTTTAATGCAGGACAATGAGATATAGACCTACTGTGTATATTTATAAAGTTTTCCTACATGCCTTAAAATCAAGAAGACCCCATGAAGCTTTGGTGACCCCCTAAAGTCGTGAACCACTGTCCTAACTGTTACAAACTGGACCTTTAATAGCACGGCCCTAAGAAATGACGATGAGTCAATGAGTCAAGGTGGTGGAGTTGGTGGTTTGATTCCCGGCTCTGTTGCGTGCGTGTGTGTTTGTGTGTACAT